ATGATAAATTGCACTATATCTATTTAATGGAACATTACACACCAGTCAACACAAATGAGCCAGACCTACAAGGGCCAACAAAGATGGGGGAGGTGGGCAAAAATTTAAAAAGTTTCAAAATATGTATACCATGATAAAATCATATTAACAGCTGCTTAAATTAACCAGCACATTAAAAAACAAGGGGGGGGGGAGGAACAGTTTTAAGCACCTTATGTAGACTCACTTGCTTTCTACAACAACCTTATAAGGTAGGCAGATCTATTATCCCTATCGATATGATAGATGAGGACATGGAGGCATGGAAAGATTTAAAAATCTGCCTAAGGTCACAAAACTGTTAAGTAGCAGAGTCCAGATTTAAACCAAGGGAATATGGCTCCAAAGCCCACAGCTCTCCAAAAGAATAGAAAGCAAAGCCATGTACCGTTCATATGTAAAGTTTATTAAAAGGTAATATCAATAACAATTGATATTATCATAACAATTACCTCTGGGAGGGAGGATGAAACTGAGGAGAACAAAAAGGACTTTAACTTGATCAGCAATGTTCAAGTACTGTACAAAGTTTCACCTGCTCTTTTAGCATTCAGTGATAACCATGATATACATAGTTTTTTAAATTAAAAATGTATCTGAAACAAAAGTGAAAAAATGTTAACATTTGTATGAATATACGTGTGCTTACTACTTTTTCGTAATTTTCTGTATTTTTAAAGCTTTTCAAAAAATGTATCATCTATAAAATATAACAGTAAAAATAAAAAGAAATTTAAGAAATTTCCAATCTCCCTATTTCAGCTTTTATTTGGAAATGAAAATAGCTAAACTGTGAGTTTATATATGTATGTACACAGAAAATGCATTTTTATATGGGTCCAAAGAGATACTAAAAGTACAGTAGAAACAGTATCTCTTAACTATACATTTTGATGACTCACTATTCTTGGTGAAAATAAAGTACAACACCAGCAGGAAAACTCCCATGATATCTCTCCACCTTTTTTCTTGATAGTTTGTCTCTTCTCCCTATTGGTTTCTACTTGTGCTTTTTATTAAAAGAAGGAAACAAGGAGGCACCGAGAAATTATCACACACTTTAAAAATAACAATAACAGCAGCTCTTCTGAATATAAGATTCTCCAACATACAATCAAGTAATGTTCCAAAACCTTATTTGTAAATTTGTTGTTTGGACCTCAAAACATATTCTCCCATAAAGAAAGTTAAACGAGGATATAAGCACCAGCAAAAAAGATACTGGCTGAGGTGCCAGGCCACGAGCAGTGAAACAGGAAAAGCAAAGTACACAGTATGCACTGATGGCCCAAGAAAAAAAGAAAGGGTTCCCAACCAGAGTTTGAGGACAGAAATCATGTTTCATTTACCTCTGTATCTTCAGTGACTAGCAAAATACCTGGTACCTCATAAACATTCAAAAACTGCTATCTACTGACTGATTGGGTAAAGAGGAAAAGACTGAGTCAAGCAGTCCATCAATAGGTGGCACTATCAATATAAAACAGGGAATAAGATGGGAATAAGATCCAAATAGAAAAGAGGTTAGAGAGTAACAGTGTGTATTAGATTATGTACGTATGTATGTATGTATGTATTTATTTTTTGACAGAGAGAAAGAGAGAGATAGCGAGAGAGGGAACACAAGCAGAGGGAGTTGGAGAGAGAGAAGCAGGCTTCCCGCCAAGCAGGGAGCCCGATGAGGGGCTCGATCCCAGGACCCTGAGATCATGACCTGAGCCGAAGGCAGTCGCTTAATCAACTGAGCCACCCAGGCGCCCCAACAATGTCCATTAATAGAATCATCTACGTATGTAAAACCACTACCAGGCTGGTGCTGGTAACCAGAAGAGTGCCTTCACCTAAATTGTTAGCTCCTTCAATTACTGTGTACTACATAAGCCCTATACTTTGAGTTAGCTTTCTAATAATCATAAAATAGTCTCCCTATTGGGGCAGTGGTTTTGTGAGACTTTCAGGATTTTCTCCTATGACCCTTAAAAACATTTTAATGTCACTCTTGTCATTATTACAGTAATACTATTCAGAAGATAGAACAAAGTATAAATACTAAAATAAAAATGACCTATAATCCCATCATACAGACACCTTTTAATACCTTATTAAAATATTTATTTCCGAGGTGCGTGGTGGCTCAGTCGGTTGAACGTATGTCTTCAGCTCAGGTCATGATCTCAGGGTCCTGGGATGGAGCCCCATGTTGGGCTCCCTGCTCAGTGGGGAGTCTGCCTCTCCCTCTCCATCTGTCTCTCCCCCAGCTCGTGCTTTCTCTCACTCTCTCAAATAAATAAATAAAATCTTTAAAAATATTTATCTCCTGCCAATCATTTTGCCATGTATATGTGATGTGTTATAAATGATGACAAAGTATATTCTTTATATTCCGACTTTTCTCTCAACACTATATTGTACTTTCTCATGTCAGTAAATATTTCTGAAAATGTGACCCTTAAAAACTGCATCTACCACTGGATTATCATTTGTTTCACTATTCCTCTATTATACGGCATTTTGACTATTATAAATTTTTCCCTGCTATAGTAACAAACTATATAAATTAATGCTTTTTATGTATTAAGTTCTACACTGCTATTTTAGAATTCAAAGTGATAACTAGGATATACAGTAACAAAGCGTGGAGCACTTCACTTCTCCCCAACTCACAAATTCTACTGAGCAATGATCATTAATCTGGGGTATTAAACAAACAAAGAGGAAGTTTTTTTTATCAACTTTCCTTCAGTCAGTCTCATCTTCCACATCTGGTAAGAAAGAGGAAAGCCCCAAGATAAGTCTCTGACATCAGAGAGGACAAGAATAACAAGCCAGTTTTCTTGCTAGAGCCACTTTTGTTTTCCACTTGGAATAATGAGCCACCAATTTAAATAGGAATGATACAAGATTTGTAATATACATCTCTACCTGGATCAGTGCTTAAATCTAGGTTTCCATAGTAGGTAGACTGTTAAGAAGAATTCTGGAAACAAAAAGGTAGTGTAAATAATATCACTCAAATGAAAAAAATAAGGTTTTTTTTTTTACAATTCTGCCATGATTTTTATTATTTTTGAATGAATTAATAAATAGCACATACTCTTTCCTTCTTATAGCTTTCCAATTATTCCAAATATTATTCAAGCTGCCATATATAGGCCAACAGCTCCAGGAGCTTAAGAATCAATAACTATTTAAGCCAGTGGTAATTCATGTGGAAAAGTTCAGAACAAATCAGCATCAGCTTCTGGCTCTCTTGCACAAACAAAAATTTACATCGCTTCACCGATTTTCAAAAGTGTAAATTTGTGTACATAAATTTAAAACAGACCAAAATTTACTCTTATTTTATTTCTATTGGGCTGGTGTCAAGATCAATTAATTTCCCTAAAAAGTACATTCTTTAAAAATTCCACAGTGAAGTCTATATTTAATCATTCAGAAAAAGAAAATTATATAACATATAATATATATAATGATGATGATGGCATGATATATACTAGTCTGGACTCCTACTGAGAGCTGCAGTTCCAAGGGAAATTGTGAAAATGAAGTAAAAGTTGCCCAAAATGTTTAATTCTGGCCAAAATAAAACAAAGTTCCAATAAAAGAAGCCAAATACAACCTTTTGTTTCATTATAAATTCAAACAGGGTTCAAATAGCTCAGAAATTCTGTATACTTAAGTTTTCAAAAGCTGGATTCCCAGAACTATCTACTCTAAACATAAACTGAGTAACTTGCCCAAGAGTCCTTACTTATTACCTAATCTTAGGTCCCCCAGAGACTACTTTCTACAATAATCTCAAATGTACTATAATAGATTAGTGTAACCTGGGTTACGCTGTTTACAGGTGTCTCCGCCTCCTTCCCCCAAGAGGAGAGAAGAGGTAGATTAGGGCAAGCAGAAAATAGAGACTATATACACCAAACAACAGCTTGCAATCTTGTAAAATTGCTTCTTACACACTTGGGCTATTATTTTAATTAACGTACAATGCATTTGAAAGAATAACATATTCACGGAGTAATACAATTTCTGTCCTCACGAGTCTCTAGCTGGCTGACACGCGTTTTCTCCTCAAATAAATACATGCCTGTTGACTGATGCCTGTCCTGCTGTTGCAAACAACAAATAACTGTCCTGTAAGACAAAAACCCTTCTCTAAGCCTCCAGGCGTAACCATACGTTTGAATTAAAAGCACTCTGGAACAATAACAAAAATCTTCCAGCACATCTGTCATTTAAAAGCACGATAATGAAAAGCTGTCGCTGCGACCCAGTTTTGGGTCACAAGCTTCTTTTTTTCTCCTCCCTCCCTCAAAGCGATAAACTTCAAAGGGAATGGTGGCCAACAGGAACGTCCCCCCCACCCCCGCAAAAATAGACAGACACACACACACACACACACACACACACACACACACAAAAAATGCAACTGACCAACTTGAACGCTAACCCGACCCATGCTGGCCAGGGTGGCTAAGCAGACCCCCGGGAGGAAAATCGGGCCTCTGGGGGCCCGCCAGGCTCCCGCTGCTGCCTGTTTTAAAATATCGAGCAGGTGGGATTCCGGAAGGCCACCTCCGTCTTACGTAACGGGCTTGTCAAAATCCCAGCTCAGGACCTCCCCTCTCACCGCCCCCGCCCCCACCCCACCCCCACCTCCCAACAACAAGAGCCCCAAACCAGCCCGGAATAGAAAATCTGGAAAGAAAACACCGGAGCCCCCCACGCGTCCGACACAGAGGTGCGGGCGCTACTCTCAGCACCGCCGCGCCAGCCCAGAGCGGACCCAGCCCGCCGAGGGCGGCCGGGCTCTGAGAAGCCCCCGGGAGGAGGTCGCGGCCAGCCGCGCCACCTCTCCGAGCCCTGCCGACCCCGCTCCCGCGACCACTGCTGTCACCGCTCCGGGCCGTGACAGCTCCACATGCCACCGCTGTCCGCGCCGCCACCCCCGCACTCACCTCACCGCTGGCTCCCGCGCAAGCAGCGAGTCGAGCTTGGAGAGTGGTGCCCAGTCCCCTCCCGACGGCGGCGGGACACGAGGGGCTGAATGCCGCGGCGCTCTGAACCCGCTTAGCTCATCCCCAGCCCGGCGCTCCGCCCTGCGCGGCACCCCCGCCCGCCCAGGCCTGCCGTCTCAGTCAGACGGGACTCCCCCTCCCCTCGCAGCCGCCGCTGCCTCCGCCTCCTTCTCTGGCTCCAGCCGCCGCGGCCGCCGCCACTGCGACTGGTGCCATCTTGGCAGTGACGGAGTGGGCGGGGGCGGGGATCGCTGCCCACAAAGGCCAATCGCGAGCCAGGCCCAGCCCCAGGGGGCGGGGCGGTGCCGGGTTGAGGGTTGTGGGGTCCTAGCGCCTGACTCTCAGCTGGGCGGAGAAGGTGGGCGGGGCTGAGCCGCCCTGGCGCGTGACGCTAGCAGTAGTTGGGGAAACGCGCGCTGGTTTCCCCTGCGGTCGGGAGATCCCGAGCCTGAGGCGGGCGTGGGTGAGAAACATCTTCCCTTCCCCTTTCACCACCCCGAGGGTCAAGGATCGTCTTGGGCCAACTGACCTGCTTCCTCCTTCCTCCCCAGCAGCCCTGACAGTCCTGACATTACCCAGCCAAAGCACCACGCGTCAGTCTGAGCGGCAGCTCCTACACCAAGGGCGCTCAGAATCCCCCAGGAAACCCCCTGAGGGGTTAGCACCCCGCTAGTAGGTTTCGGTCCAAAGATACTGAAGGGCAGGTAAAATGGGGAATTCGGGGGGGGGTTCTCTGAAAAGTACGTTGATAAAACTCCTATTGTTGAATGAAGGGGTGTCGATTACATTGGATTAATGGGATATGGCCTACTTAAACCTGGCTATGGCTCCACCATTAGTGGCTGTTGGCAAATTGCCTCTGAGAAATGAGAGTAATAAAGGTTGATAACAGCAACAGGGTTGTTGTGAGGTTAAATTGTATAATACATGTGAAGTGCTTAGCGTAGTGCCTGAAAGTACTCAATGAATGTTAGATATTATTCCATGGTCAAATGAAGGAAGAAATAGGACCCTAAAAGTCCCTATGGTTTCAAATCCACTTTCTCAATTGTGCAGAATAGGCATTAATCCCTTTTACTAACCAAGTTTACAGCTCTATTTCCTATCTCCATTTCTTCCATTGTATTCATTCAGTCAGTCAACAAATATTCATTGAAACGCAAACGCTGAGGGGACACAGCCTTGAGGGAAACAGGAAAAGGTCTGCTTTCATGGAACTGACTAGTTGGAAAAAGAGGGACAATAAATACTTCACACATTTTGGAGGAAAACATGTATAAAGGTTCTGAACAGAATTCTGGGAGAGCAGATAATAGGATAGGTTAAAAAAAAAAAAAACAGTGGTCAGGAAAGGCTCATCTGAAGGATGAGGAGTCAGTAATGTGAGAAATGCTCTGGGGAATTGTATAAGGCAGAGGGAATGGCTGTGCAAAGGATCTGTGGTAATAAGGACCTTGGCTATTAGAACTGAGTGGAGTCTGGTGCTGAGAAACCAAGGTATAAAGAGGAGCCTGGAATGAGTCTGGAGAGGTGAGTGAGGGCCCATTCCCCCAGGGCCTAGGAAAATATAGAAATAAGATCAGATTTTATTGTAATTGCAACTGAAAGGCATTAGAGCAAGGAAGTTGGGAACAGTGATGTTTGCAGTATGACATCTATGTCTATATTTTGGGCAACATATGGGCCAAAGAACTGTATTTCAAGTAAAAACAAAAAGAACCTGAGGTTGAGCCTGTTCAGCACTAAGTTGGTCAAATTGTATGTTCTGATCTTCAGTTTCCTTGTTAAAAATGTATGAGCATCAGCCACATAGAAAATGCCACACAGAAAAATACTACTTTCACTGAAAATTGTTAAATAATGTATGTTGTTTCTAAGTGTTTTGAATGTCATGTTAGTGTCATTTATAGTTGTCTAATCAGTGCTATTTGATAAGTACATTTAGTGGTGTGGGGTTTTTTAATCCAAGTGGTAATCCAAATCAGTCATTCTTAACCATTTTTGTACAATGTGTTACTAAGAAAAATAATATGTACTGTTATAAGCATGTATTTTTTTTTCAGTTTTATTTTTGAGTAACCCCTACCCCCAACATGGGGCTCGAACTTACAACCCTGAGATCAAGAGAGGAATGCTCTACCAACTGAGGCAGCCAGGTGCCCCATAAGTGTGTAGTTTCTTGATCTAGTAGTTCCAAATATATTTTTTTAAGTGCTTAGCTGGGCATTTTCTAGTGAAATTTGCTATGAAGACAATGAATTTTTATCTTTTTATTTGGATAAAATATACATAACATAAAATGTACTATTTTAACTATTTTTAAGTGTATAGTTCAGTGGCATTCACATTGCTATGCAATCATCACCAGGACTTTTTCATCATCCCAAACTGAAACTCTACCCAGTAAATAATAACTCCTATTCTACTTTATAAAACATGTATTTTTTTAAAGGTATCAGGTGAGTTTCCCCCTCCCCCCACAAAATGGTAAATGAGTTTGGTGATCACTAGGATTGTTTGCTCCCATTGGAGGTGATCACTAGGATTGTTTGCTCCCATTCCATGTAAGTTTAAAAACCACCACCCAAAAAATAAGAATTAGTATAAGTTTTTAGCTCAGATGGTTAACACATAATAATCAGAAGTACTAATATAGGACCAATTAATTTTTAGCACTGAAAAATTGTGTTCTCTGACCATAAAATGTGCTCTATGGTCTTATAAATGTTTGCTCCAAAATGGCCCAGACAACATGCCCCTCCATTTACGTGCAACTACTCTAAAAGCATGTCTACTTGATACTATTAATTTTCATTAAAAAATAAGTGATTACAGCTCTGGGCAAATTTAATTTTAAAAATCACTCTTGTGTGAGGAATGGTTTAGAAAAAGGGCAAGAAAGAAGGAAGCAAGTTTTTGCCACACTTCAAATAATTAAGTATTCGATAAAGTTATGAAGATCAAAAGATCAAGATCGTTTTTGGCTTGAAAATACTGGGAGTCGATAACTTTATTTTTAAGCACATCCTACATGCAGTGTTTTAACTCCATTAAACCAAAAGCTAAATATCTTTGCCAGGCTGGACCCTTCTTCCTGCTGCCCATGTCATCCACAGTGTTTTTATTCCCAACATGAGGGCCTGGCTATAGGCCAGTCAGTGATTGCAAGGGAGAGATTATGGTATAAGGGGCCACAGGAGAATTTGGGGGGATGATGGGTATGTCCACTATCCATGTCATACTTACCAAGTTGCAAACTTTAAATATGTGTAGTCCCCTGTATGTCAATTATATTTCAATAAAACTGTAAAAAAAATTAAAGTCTAATTGCACACTTCCCATTCTTTCCCCATTGGATGCAGACTTAGCCTTTCATCGGTTTTAATCCCTGTGAGGCCTATCTAGTCAATTCTTCTTTGAGGAACAACAAAGAGCACTCTTTTAATTGGCAAAAAAGATACAAATATTTTATCTACATTTGCCAATTAAAATACTATGGGCATATAGAGGCGCCTGGGTGGCTCAGTAGGTTAAGCACTGGACTCTTGTTTTCAGCTCAGGTCATGATCTCATGGGTGGCAGGATTGAGCCCTATGTGGTAGGGCTCCCTCCCTGCTCAGCAGGGAGTCTGCTCCAGATTCTCTCCCTCCTCCCCCCCCCCCCCCCCACTCTGTGCACAAACTCTCTCTCAAATAAATGTATCTTTAAAAAAAATATATTATGGGCATATAGTTACAAGCATGGTTTATAGACTGGGATTCTAAAAAGTTTCAAAAGTTGAAAAGGTTTGAAGTTTTGTGTTTTTTTTAATCAAAGAACACTTTTTTTTCCCCAAAGAACACACTTTCTGAAAGAACATATTAAAAAGCAGTAAAGGGGCACCTGGGTGGCTCAGTTGTTAAGCGTCTGCCTTCGGCTCAGGTCATGATCCCAGGGTCCTGGGATCCAGCCCCACATCGGGCTCCCTGCTCCTCGGGAGGCCTGCTTCTCCCTCTCCCACTCTCCCTGCTTGTGTTCCCTCTCTCGCTGTGTCTCTCTCTGTCAAATAAGTAAATAAAATCTTTAAAAAAAAAGCAGTAGAAAAACAATAAGTAGTATTTGACTGTATTCTCAGGAAGTGCCTTTAAATATCTCAGAGCCCTTAACGGTCCTATCCTGAGTTCTCTCAACATCCCATGCGTAGGTCACTGTAGTCACAGTTAAACAAACTTAAACCCTAAATGTGATTTGGGCAAGGGAGTCTAACAATGTAGACATGAGCCACATAGAAAAATGTGGCTCAGATGTTTGGACCTCATGCCATTTCTGAAATTATGCCATTTTTTACACCTGGAACTGTATCTGGTTATTTCTTAAAAGTTATTTTTAAATACTATGGTTTGAATGGTGCATGAAGGAAAACTTTGAAACCGGTAACAGTTTAAAGCACTGGAAGCTCAAGCTGTTGTACAGACTAATCCTCTCCACCTGTTAAATCTATTCACCTTTAATTGCTATACCAGAAGTTTCCCACATCTTTAAATGAAAACCTGGAGCCTTCTATAAAGTGGTCTTGATATCTATGCCATGGGGCCTCCTTATGGGTGAGAAAGCCTTCCACCAGGGATTTATCATTCTTTAGAAACTCTTTGGATGGGGCGCCTGAGTGGCTCAGTCGTGAAGCGTCTGCCTTTGGCTCAGGTCACGGTCCCAGGGTCCTGGGATCGAGCCCCGCATTGGGCTCCCTGCTCAGCGGAGAGCCTGCTTCTCCCTCTCCCACTCCCCCTGCTTGTGTTCCCTTCTCTCACTGTGTCTCTCTCTGTCAAATAAATAAATAAAATCTTTAAAAAAAAAGAAATTCTTTGGATGTGTCCCAAAGCGGCACACGTTGCCAAATTCTATTCATTGTGCAACGGTGTATTTAATCTACAGTGTATCTCTAGTGTATTTAATCCACAAACTGAAATTTATTAGAAATATGGTCAAATTATCAATTTATTTCTTAAAAACACAAATCGGATGAAATACTTTTGAAAGACAAATTATCTGAACAACTCACAAGAATAGTAGCAATGACAAATTTTAAATGCAATACTTGAGAGCAGTGTCCAGGGACAGGAGGGCTCTAAGCAGTCTGTACCACTGCTGTCCCTAGCCTGTTGGCGGCCAGCTGAGGAGTCATATCTGTGACTCAGCACTTTTTCACAAATTTGAAAATTATCACCTCTCAACACCGTCCTCAAAGCTTTTACCCTCAACACCCTCCTCAATGCTTTTACCCTCAACACCCTCCTGAATGCTTTCACCTTTCTCAACAAGTCCTTCTAATTTCAATTTTTAGTTTTTGAATGATCTGCAAAAGAAAGTCATTTATATGTAGTGTGTCTTTTTAACTGTCATTGTCCATAGACAGTTATGCCTCCTGACTTTCTTTAAAGGGTAAGACAATATTTTTATAACTTTTGACAAATTCCTGTCAATCAGATTTTATACACAAAGTGCTACGCTGGGCACAGAAGAAAAACAAAGATGAGCACCTTATGCCTCTAAAGCACAAGGTATATTCCCAGCCATGTCACTTTAATAAAAATCACACTATGAAAAGTCCTGCACTAAATGGTAGGACTATTGCTGTGGAGACGGGGGGAGTAGAGTGATTAATTCTGATTGTGGGAATGGAAGGTGACAAATAGAGAACATTTGAACGAATCCTGAGAAAACCTAGACTTTCTGTGAAAGGTGATGGTATCCGTATTTGGAGCATAGAGATAGGGGTGGGCACAAGTCAGGAAAAGCTTTTTTTTTTTTACTCTGGAAAAAATAACAGATGTACTAGAATTGTTCTCAACAAATGAAAGAGATGCTCATAAATTGTTCCAAACTTCGATTCTCTTTGGGAGTGGCCAAAGGTTCAAATAATTTGGAAGGATGGATATCTGTGCTGACTTGCAGGAAATATGAGTCAGCTTTTCTCATGGACTCAGCACTGTTGTTACAGCTAGGATATTTGGGAAACATGAAGCTCAACAAATCAGACAACATAAGTCTTTCTTTTTCTTGATTGGCCCAGACATGCATTCTGCAAGGGTGGACAACAGGGATGCCCTTTTTATTGGTGAGGGGAAAGACCTGCAATTGAAAAAAGTAAACTTAAACATAAAATACTTCTGTTTCCTGCCTCAGACTAGGAGACAGACACATACCTCTCTTCTGTGCTTCAGGAATGTATATTCAGTTACCTCCAGACATCTCAGTCCCAAGCGCACCTGAAACTCAATGTTTTTGAAGGTAAACTCCTTTATCCCAAACCTGTTTCTCCTATTTCTTTAATTTCTTGAATAGTACCCACCATGCACCAATCACAAAAGTCAAAACCTGTGAGTAATCAACTCCTCTTCCCCACCCTCATTCTTTTTTTTAAAGATCTTATTTATTTATTTGACAGAGAGAGAGAGAGAGAGCCCTTGCGCGAGCGTGCGCACACACAAGCATGGGGAGTGGCAGGCAGAGGGAGAGGGAGAAGCAGGCTCCCCACTGAGCAGGGAGCCCAACGACATGGGGCTCAATCCCAGGACCCTGAGATTATGACCTGAGCCGAAGGCAGAGGCTTAACCGACTGAGCCACCCAGGCACTTCTCCCCACCTTCTTCTTAAACATTTAATCATTAAAGCCAATCCATATAACCTTTTTAACATACAGTTGTATTGTTCCTGTTGTTCCTCATTGCAATTTTCATTCCCACTGACCTGGTTCAAACTGTACTTCTGTTTTTTTGTTTGTTTGTTTGTTGTTGTTTTACCTGAAATCTTGTAGGAATCAACTCATTGGATTCCCTATCTCCTGTCTTTTCCTCTTCCACCCTTCCTTCCCTTTGTTGCCAGGCTAATCTTTCTAAAGAAGAAATATGATGAGTTGTTCCAGACATAGTTTGAGGTTGCTAGCTTCCTCCTCTCCTTTCTTTCTATTCTTGGTGGAAAAGTTACTGTCCAAGTGTTGATGTTATCTAAGAGGAGCAGAGCATTAAGGCCTATGTGTTGTTCTCCCTTTGCCTCTCTCCAATACGGTGGAGATAGCCTCTCATTCAGATCACTTTCAGATTCAGGGCACGAGGTTCTTAATTGAAAGAAAGAATTTACGCCTCAGCAGTCCATAAGGATTGGGCTCCCCTACAAATGTGTACAGACAGAGAGATGGATTGGTTAGTTATATCAAACTACTTATATTAAGGGCAAAGTTAATCCAGAAGGGAAGAACTCTAGCAATTACTTTACTCAGAATTTGGAGAAAAATAGCCTTTTAATAATAAAGATTTTAGTTAAAAACAAAAAGATCTCCAAAGCTCTTCCTAAGGCTATTTTAGGCTCTCTACAGTCCCCATTGCTGTCCTATCTCCTAGAAATGTATATCCTTCTTCTACATTCTCTGCTTATAACCCTGTGTGTTTTCGTAATTGGTTGTAATTATTTTAACAGCATTTTGAATTTAATAAACATCACCTTATTGATGTAATAGAATTTAGATGTTGTAATAGTAACTTACAGAGTTTTAAATTCTACCGAAAGGGAAACAGAAAGAAGTTGGTATGAGGCTTTTATTTGGATGTATTAGAACTGAAATGGAAGAAAAGCTTTTAGAGATGGCGAACCCTGCCGGCCTGTTCAGTGCTGCCTGGAAGGTCATGGATGGCACAATGAAGGAAGGAGAGCCATAGATCTTTGATTCAGGCTGAAGAGAGTAGATAATGATACAGCTCATTCTTAACACACTATGCGAAAAAGGGATAGGGAATTAGTGGAGTTGTGAAGAGACAAGAAAACTATTCTTCCATTTCATGTTCTTCTGATGATCACATAGCATGAGGCTCTGTTTGCCACAAGGTTAGAAGCAAGGATTGAAATACTAAAGGTAATAAAAATGGTTGTTGCTTGCAAGGGAAAATCTCAAGGGCAGAGGTCCAGTAACATGTAGGGCAACTGGATGAGGGCAGGGCTAAATGGATTGGTTATAGTGCATTTGAGGTGGGACAGGCAATTAGAGATGGATTTAAGATGTAGCACTGATCCACATCATGATGGCTCTATGAGAATGTCAGCTTTCATAAACAGACTTCATGTTTTTCTGACCCAGAACATAGGATTCTTGAGCAGGAAAGAGGTCATCTTGTAACCATTTTATTTTCCCCAAAGTGACCATTTGCAAAGTGGCGATTTGTCCAAGGTCATACACATCCAGTCGTGGGAGGAGAGCTAGCACTAGAATCGGATCTCCAGGTTCCCAATTCTTTGATTCTCTGTTACATAATATCAATTGGTTGTGAGAACTCAGTATTCCAAACTCTCTGTGGATACATAGGAAAATCCTTATTGTAGAGATGAAGAAACTGAGGATCAAAAAGGTGGAGTAAATTTACCAAATCACATGGCTGGACTAGGTCAGAGCCCAGGCCTCGCTCACAATTCCTGAGCCAATAGGCTTCTACCAAACCACACTGCCTAGGGGATTAAAAAAAAAGTGAAAGCTTCAACGCCACGTTTCAAGGCATAGACTTTTCTCCTTTGATCCAAAGGTATTTTACTTTGTGCTGTTATATGCTATGCTCTTTGCCAGGTGCCATAGAACAAATTATAAGACTAAAAGATTTGGGGCACTGGGTGGCTCAGTCGGTTATGCGCCTGCCTTTGGCTCACGTTCATGATCCCCGAGTCCTGGGATCTAGCCCTGCATTAGGCTCCTTGTTCAGCAGGTGTCTGCCCCTCCCCCTGCTCATGCTTGTGCACTCTCTCTTTCTTTCTCTCTCCGAAATAAATAAATAAATAAATAAATAAAATCTTTTTTTAAAAAAAGACTAAAAGATTTATTTTGCAAGACTAAACATTGAACGTTACCCAATTGTCAGGGAAGTGCACATGTCTTTTGGTGGTTGATAAGCCAGCAGGAAGTCAATCTTTGGTGTCCTACAATATTGGGAATGTTTTCACTTTCATCAAAGGATGGGTTTCAGATTCTCTACTGTATTATCCCAGTAATACATCTATCAGATGGGCAGACATTTAAAAATCTGACAATAGCGAGGGTTATTGAGGCTGTAGAAAAACCGGAACTCTCATGTTCTGTTGCTGGGAATGTTAAATGGCCCAATCCTTTTGGAAAGCCGTTTGGCAATATTTAGTAAGATTGAAAATGCATATGCCCTACAATCCAGCAATTCCATTTCTGGGTATATACTATAAAGCAGTTTTTTTTTCAAACGTGATTCATGATCCATTAGTGGATTGTGAAATTGATTTAAGGGTTATAATAAACATTTCTTATAAATGAAATAGAACAGAAAATATTAGAGTAGGGATGGCTTTGTGAATTTTTGTGTGCCACCTTGATTCTCCCTCTCCAAGACTGAAGCGTTAGTTCACGCAGCTGCTGAGAGGGTTGGCAGTCAACCGCTTTAGCTGAGTCCCTCTCCAGGACTCTTTCCAGGAAGAGAGTTACTTGCCCAAGGTCACGCCCTCTTCCTGGGTGCAGCTGTATCCAGTAACTGGTCGATGCAGGCATATAAAGGCTTGATTCCATTGTCCCAATTCAAAATTACTCTGATGAAAGATCACTGCAGCCAATGTGGGATCAGCCGAGGTTTTTGATGCCACTTCATTAGACCCCAAAACTTTCTCTGCTCATTCCTGCTTCTTTCACTCTGCCACAAGTGCTGATCCAAGGACACTCCCAAATAAATGCCCTGCACACAGATTTCTGTCATAGATCTACTTCTAGGCAAGTTGGCCTGTGATGATATACTATGCACATAGGTGTATATGGGATAGAATGTAAAATTATTTTTCACCATACATATTGGCCATAAAAGTTTGAAAATCCTGCACCTAGAGAAACTTTTACACATATGCCCTAGGAGATGCTATGAAGATGTTCACTGGGGTATTGTTTGCAGTAATGATGACTAGTAGTGATTATAAATGTCTATAATCATGCAATGGAGTACTATACAATAATTAAAGTTAGTGAAGGAAAAATCAACAAAACTAAAAGGCAGCCTACAGAATGGGAGAAGATATTTGCAAGTGACACATCTGATAAGGGGTTAGTAACCAAAATCTATAAAGAACTGATCAAATTCAACACCCAAAACCAAATAATCTAATTAAGAAATGGGCAGAAGGCATGCATAGACATTTTTCCAAAGAAGACATCCAGATGACTAACAGACACATGAAAAGACACTCAACATCACTCATCATCATGGACATCAAATTGAAACCACGATGAGATACCACCTCACACCTGTCAGAATGGCTAAAATTAACAACACAGGAAACAACAGATGTTGGTGAGGATGCAGAGAAAGGGGAACCCTCTAACTGTTGGTGGGAATGCAAACTGGTGCAGTCACTCTGGAAAACAGTACGGAGGTTCCTCAGAAACTTAAAATTGAACTATCCTATGATCCAGCAATTGTGCTACTAGGTATTTACCCAAAGGACACAAAAATAGAGATTCAAAGGGGTACATTCCCCCTGATGTTTATAGCAGCCTTATCAACATAGCCAAACTATGGAAAGAGCTCAAGTATCCATAGACTGATAAATGGATAAAGAAGATGTGGTATATGTATACAATGGAATATTACTCAGCCATCAAAAAGAATGAAATCTTGCCATTTGCAGCAAGGTGGATGGAACTAGAGTATATTATGCTAAGGAAATAAGTCAGTCAGAGAAAGACAAATACCATATAATTTCACTCATATGTGGAATTTAGGAAATAAAACAGATAAACATAAGGGGAGGGAGGGGAAAAAAGAGAGAGAAGCAAACCATAGAGACTCTTAACACAAGAACAAACTGAGGTTGATAGAGGGAGGTGGGTGGGGGATGGGCTAAACGGGTGATCGGTTGGTTTTAAGGAGGGCACTTGTTGGGATGAGCACTGGGTATTATATGTAAGTGATGAATCACTAAATTCTACTCCTGAAACCAATATTGCACTATATGTTAACCAACTCGAATTTAAATAAAAATTTGGAATAAAATAAAATAAAACTAGTGAAATATCCTGACATCTACCAACATGGATGAATCTCTGAAATATAAGGATATATACCAGTTTCAGGATAGTGGCTACCTCTAGCGAAGGAATGTGGGAAATGGGATGAAGTTGGGACCTCAACTGTAGCATTGTATTGCTTTTTTAAGAAGTATCTAAACAAATATGACAAAATTATAGCATTTATTAAGTTTATAGGGGCACAGGCTTTTTTAACTATTCTGTATGTTTAACA